ACACCATAATAAATAATAAGCATTGTACATTAGGGCTGCAACAAGTAATCAATAAAAATAGTTGGCAACAAATTTAATTATGGATTAGTTGGTCTATTCACGTAGCTGTGCGAGATGGCCAAGAGCAGACAGCTGGGTCATACAGGATTCTGTCCCCACTCCTGTAAGGCCTCTTCCTTGGCATGACAGAGGTGTTTGAGCTTTACTGTGAACCAAGGTTTGTTGTTATTGTATGTGCAGAGAGTCTTAATTGGCACACACATGCCCTCACAAAAGTTGATGTATGATATCACAGTGTTAGTTTAGGAGTTTATTACCAGGAAATACGTGATGCACTGTCAACCTGTACTGCTTACATTCTCAGTTTGCACATGCATAATTGCACATTGACTGTTGACTGCTGCACATGCTGCTCCCATGCAGCATACATTCTCTTATTATTTGCCATATTAGGTATGAAATACAAGACAGATAGAGGATTTGGATGACAGGGATTCCTCTAACCACTATGAAGTACCATGCACCTAACTGAGTTTTTGTGAAGACTGTACCTTGTTAAGATGTTGTAATTCTGTACAAAGTTCAACTGAGCTCATTGAAGTAAACTGCCTGAAGTGGGAATCTTGTGTCCTGACTCATCTTTCAGTCTCCAAGCTTATGACCACAAAATTCATCCTTTCAAATTTGCACCTTGTTAGACAATATGAACAGCTGGAACACTGGTCTAAATAATGTGCCTATCTTTTTATTTGTCAGGACAAAATCTCTTCTTTATACAACACATGAGCAGTCTCTCAAAGTTCTTATCCAACAGGTAGCTCCATTTGGCAATGATAATGTCCTTGCCAACACTGAAAAGCTGCTCACATGTAGCTGTCATGTTCCTGGTCCTACCTGCTCTGTGTGGTGTATTTCTATGTCCTGCTGTTCTCTCTCTCTATGGGCTCCACTTCTAGGGTTGCAGACCGGTACACTCCTGCTACCCCTCATCTGGCTGATTGGCAACAGCTGCAGCTCATCAAAAGTCATCACCAGCCATACATTAAACACTAAACAAATCATTAGTTGATGTTAAATTACTTAAGTTTCCTGGTTCATCAGCTGCCCATATTTGACCCTTTTCCATCACCTGGTAACGACTCAACCTTGGTACCAGGTGCTTAGTTTTCCACTGCAGATAGTCTCCTAGCAGGGTAGCTGGTTGTCACAGTGATGCCATATTAAACTTCTATGAAGTTACAGGCCCATGGTGGTGGCAGGGCAGGCTCAAAGCTGTTATAATTTTCATCCTAGGACTGTTATTGTCATTTTTTAAGTTGATATTATCTGAGGCAAGAAAATAACTATCTAGTTTTTGAATATGTGTGGTAAATCCATCCCAGTAACGGCAATTATAAATCTGCTCCAACGTTTCTGACGATTTGATGACCTGCTAACAAGCCAGCCAGCTAGCTCTACTCAGAGGCATAGCTGTAGCCATTGTGCTTATGTTATCACATTCAGCAACCTAAGGGCTACAAGATGAGATGTACAGTGTGGTGGTTCATGTAATATATAGGGTATATTTATATGAATTCAATTTTATCTGTATAGCACCAAATCACAACAAAGGCCATCTCAGGACACTTTACAAAGTAAGGTTTAGACTTTACTATTACTACTATTATTATTATATGGGGAAACCCCCCCAAATCCCCTTGAACAAGCACAGGAAGAAAGGAGGAAAAACTCTCTTTAATGGAAGAAACCTTTGACAGACTCTGAGGCCTTCTGCCTCGACAGGTTGGGGTGAGTGAAAGCAGCAAGACACAAAAAACAATCAAACACTGGGAAAAAAAAAGCGACAAGACACAAAAAACAATCAAACACTGGTCAGGTTGATGTGGCCAGTGACTGCTCATCAGAAACATAGAGCTCCAGAGCCAGGGCTATCTGCAGAAAGGTACAGGGGGAGAGAGAGAGGACACACTATGGGAGAGAGGAGACACACAGTTAGTGACACATAATTGTGGCATATAGATAGATGGAGAGAGAGGAGAGGAGCTCAGAGCATCATGGACCCCCCAGCAGCCTAGGCCTATAGCAGCATAACTAAGGGAAGGCTCAAGGTCACCTGATCCAGCCCTAACTATAAGCTTTATCAAAAAGTAAAGTCTTAAGTCTAATCTTAAAAGTAGAGAGGGTGTCCACCTCCCAAACTGAGAATGGGAGCTGGTTCCATAGGAGAGGAGCTTGATAGCTAAAGGCTCTGCCTCCCATTCTGCTTCTGTGGACTCTAGGAACCACAAGTAAACCTGCACTCTGAGCGCGAAGTGCTCTGTTAGGATGATAAGGCTCTACGAGGTTTTTAAGATACGATGGAGCCTGAACATGAACATTTGCGTTCGATATGGATCTCTGTTGTTGTTGTTCAAGTAGGACTGGTAGTTGTTGTGTTTCTCCACACGGATGATCACTCATACAAACTGGCTTATATAACTAATACGGAGCTGTAGGGGTAGAGGGTCCAAACCTGGACTTATTAAACATGCATAACCACAAGAGAGTGACGTACTGAGGATCACACACACACAATCAAACTAAAGCAACCATCATGGCTTTTACCCTGTTTTAGTTAAATTTATCACCAGCTCGTAAAAACACTTTGCCCACAGAATGCATGTTTGAATATGTGTGTGCACGTGTATTGACACAGATTTCTGTCTCAAACAATCAATTGATAACTATTTCTGTCCAGCCATATTTCTTGGGATCTTCACTCCCTAAAACAACGCCCACCACCCTTCCTCCTTCTCCACCTCCCTCTCTCTGGTATTTCCCAGTGAAACCTCCTCCCCACCTCCCCCCTGCCACCCCCCTTCTCTTTTCCTTTCCCACCCCTCTTTTCTCTCCCCCCTCTCTTCAGAGGGATTCTTCAGTCAGTCGAGTGGAACTGGTGTGGCTGCTGGAGAGACAGACAGTGAGGCAGAGGGGCTGTGCTGAGCAGACGCTGGGTCAGAGCGCTCAGTTGCTTCAGACAATCACAGGAGAGCGAGAGAAAGGCAGGAGAAAGAGAGAACACCACATAGAAAGATTCAAAAGAGAGAAAAGGGAGGGAGAGATAGGGGAGGGAGGTAAATATGTAACAGGATGTGGTTTCCCTGAGCTTGCAGAACATTGGTATACAGGCATACTTTGAGCATGACCTAAACACGGCGAGCGCACAAGTGTGTTTGAGCTCTGTTAGGTGGCGTGGGGGACGACAAAGCAAACCGCTGGAGCCACTGCTGCTGCTGCTGCTGCTGAGCTGACAGACACTTTGGTCTCATTGCTGCCTGCCGGAAGATTGTGAGACATTTAAGTCAGCCACCTCCTTGGCAACCTCAGTCAGTTTGTCAGACAGGATCTGAGCCCGTCCCCCATCCTCTCTCTGAACTGGTCTTCTTCCAAGTAGAATGCGATTCTTTGCCGGAAGCTTTGGTCCAGTTGCTGCCTTTCCGTCCAAGCAGTGAACTTTTTAACTAGATCGTGAAACAGGTAAGTTTGTTTTTGTCTGTGTAAGAGCTTCTCAGCATGTGTATGAATTTTAACTTCCTAACTGATGTGTTCCTGTTCTCATGCCTAATTCCCTGGACTGCATCCACTGTAAACTTGGGCTGCACTGTGGCAATTGTTTACCTTAGAGAGTTTATTCATTAGATGTTGCTTTAAGCCACAAGCGTGGCTTCTGAGCAGTGCGCTCAACAGCAAGCTCCAAATCCACTGCTACCACCCATAAATGTTTGCACATTTACATGCTTACATACACACACTGTGATCTTTCATCTTGCATATTAAGAGGTCTGATTGTTTTGAAGCCACATGTGGGGTGGATGGTACAAAGCAGGGCTGAGAATGCCAGAAATGTCTACCTGGATCCAGTCACTGTTTCAAGATGCGCTACACCACTCCCACTAGTGAGGAAGGAGGCACGGGAGTGTGTGATCTACAGTACTGTGTGTGAGTGTAAAAATGTGAGCTACATTGTGGGTTTTTTGTGCAGAATCTCTGCTGATATGTCCATGTCTGTCTGAACAAGAGAATGTTTACATGCTTAAACTATGTGCCCTGGCACATGAGTTCATCCAAGTGTGTGTGAGTGTAAAAGAGGAGGAGATTTAAAGGGGAAAAAAAGTTGAGGGATGGCAGGAGGTGAAGGAAGGGTGAAGGGTTGTCAGGATGGAGGAAGGCAAGGGCATGAGACAGAGGAACAGCCCAGGGGAGGAGAAGAAAAGACTGTGTGTGTGTGTGTGTGTGTGTGTGTGTGTGTGTGTGTGTGGGGGT